GAACCCCATGAACAAGAATTTAGAGTAACAGCCATGAGACTAACAGCTGGGCTTGAAAAAAGCATAGAAGACAACAGAGAATCTCTTGCTGCAGAGATCAAAGACATAAGAACTAGTCATGATGAATTAATAAATGTTACAAATGAGATGCCAAATAAACTAGATACAGTGACAGCAAGGATGGAAGAAGCAGAGGAGAGAATAGGTGAAATAGGAGATAAAAACTGTGGAAAGTGATGAATCTGAAAAAAAGAGGGAAAGGAAATTACTAGATTACAAGGGGAGAATTAGAGAGCTGAGTGATTCCAGGAAACATAACAATATCCATATTAGAGGAGTTCCAGAAGGAGAGTGAGGGAAAGGGGCAGAAGGTTTATTTGAACAAATTATAGCTGAGAACTTCCCTAATCTGGTAAAGGAAACAGACATCCAAGTCTAGGAGGCACAGAGAACTCCTTTCAAAATCAACAAAAACAGGCCAATACCATGACATATCATAGTGAAACTGACAAAATACAAAGATAAAAAGAGAATTCTGAAAGCAGCTAGGGACAATTGGTCCTTTAACCTAGAAGGGTAGACACATAAGGGTAGTAACAGACCTGTCCACTGAAACTTGGCAGGCCAGAAGGAAGTAGCAGGAAATGTTCAATAGGAAAAATATGTAGCCAAGAATCCTTTATCCAGGAAGGTTATCATTCAGAATAGGAGAGATAAAGGCTTTCCTAGACAAACAAAAGCTAAAGGAGTTCATGACCACTAAACCAGCCCTGCATGACTACAAAGCAGCAAAGACTACAAAGGACCAGGGATATGCCACAAATATGAAAACTGCAGATAACACAATAGCACTAAATCATATCTTTCAAAAATCATTCTGAATGTAAATGGACAAAATGCTCCAATCAAAAGACATAGGGTATCAGAATGGATAAAAAAACATGATCCATCTATATGCTGCCTACAAGAGACTCATTTTAGACCTGAGGACAACTTGCAAATTGAAAGTGAGGGTATAAAGAACCATCTATGATGCTAATAGATGCCGAAAGAAAGCTGGAGTGGCCATACTTAGACAAACTAGATTTTATTTTTTAAAAATGTTTATTTATTTTTGAAGGAGAGAGAGAGAGAGAGAGAGAGAGCATGAGCAGGGCAGGAGTAGAGAGGGAAACACAGAATCCGAAACAGGCTCCAGGCTCTGAGCAGTCAGCACAGAGCCTGACGTGGGGCTCAAACCCATGAACTGTGAGATCATGACCTGAGCCGAAGTCCACTGCTTAACTGACTGAGCCACCCAGGTGCCCCAGACAAACTAGACTTTAAAACAAAGACTCTAACAAGAGAAGAAGAAGGGCATTATATCCTAATTAAGGGGTCTATCCATCAAGAAGAGGTAACAATTATACATGTTTATGGCCCAACATGCAAGTACCCAATTAATCACAAACATAAACTTCTTAAAAATATATACCATAATTGTGACATTAATACTCCACTTACAGCAATGGACAGATCATCTAGGCAGAAAAACCAATAAGGAAACAATGACTCTAAATGACACTGACATTGGACCAGATGGACTTAACAGATATATTCAGAAGTTTCCATCCTAAAGTAGAATATACATTCTTCTCAAGTGCACATGGAACATTCTCCAAAATAGATCACATACTAGGTCACAAAGCAGCCCTCAACAAGTACAAAAAGATTGAGATCATACCATGCACATTTTCAGACCACACCACCAGGTACTGGTCACCCATCTGAATATCTTCCTCAGAGATATGGCTATTTAAGTCCTTTGAACATTTTTAAATCATTTTTATTGAGATTTACGACTTCTCCATATATTGTGGATATTTTTAATCCCTTATCAGATACCGGATTTATAAATATTTTCTCCCATTTTGTAGGATGTCTTTTTACTCTGCTGTCTTTTACTGCACAAAATTTTAAAGTCTTCATATTAAGTTTATCTAATTTTATTTTGTTGCCTGTCTTTGGTTTCAAATCCAAGAAACCATTGCCAAATCCAGTGTCCTGAAGCTTTTGCCTTTTCCTCATTTCTTGAGTTTATTTATTTAAATAGAGAGTGAGCTCGTGTGCTCACATGCACATGAACACCAGTGGGGGAGGGGCAGAGAAAGAGAATCCCAAGCAGCCTCCAAGCTGTCAGTGCAGAGCCCAAGGAGGGGGCTCAGTCTCAGGAACCATGAGATCATGATCTGAGCCGAAATCAAGAGTCAGATGCCTAACTGACTGAGCCACCCCGACACCCTGCCTTATTTTCTTCTAAGAGCTTTGTAATTTTGGGTCTTACATCCCTTTTGAGTTAATTTTTGTATATGTTGTTAGATAAGGGTCCAACGCCATTCTTTTGCACGTGGATATCCAGCTTCCCAGGCCCCATTTGTTGAAAAGTCTATCAATTTCCCCATTGAATGGTCTTTCTTATCAAAAATGGACTCACTGAGGGCACCTGGATGGCTTAGTCAGTTAAGCATCCTACTTGGGCTCAGGTCATAATCTCACGGTTCATGAGTTCGAGCTCCGCATCTGGCTTTGTGCAGACAGCTCCGAGTCTGGAGCCTGCTTCAGATTCTGTCTCCCTCTTTCTCTGCACATCCCCTGCTCACACTCTCTCAAAAATAAAAACATTTAAAAATTTTATTTAAAAAAAATGGACTCATTGGACTGTATATGGAAGGCTTTATTTCTGGGCTCTCTATCCAATTAGGTCTACTCTAGCTTTCTTTATGCCATTAACACTCTTGATTATTACACCTCTGTGCTGTTTTAGTATAATGAAGTTCATATATTATTTTTTAAACTTATGCCACCTCTTCCTTTAGTTCTTTCATCTCTAAGATGGTTGTTTTAAAGTTTTCATCTAGAGATCTGCTATCAGTCTTTTTCAGGCACATATTCTATTTATTTTGCCTTAGAATGGGCCCTACTTTCTTGTTTTTAGAATGCCTTGTGATTTTCTTGTTGTTGCAAACTAGACATCTGAATAATATGTATCTCTGGCAATCAGATTATCCTTTTTTAAAAAATCCTTGTAGATTATCTCTGCCAAGGATTAGCCTGATGTGTAAACTTATTTTCTCAGGTCTTTTCTGAGCCTGTGTCTTTTCTTGGACACGAGTGGTCACTTTCAAATTTTCCCTGTATATGCAATTGTTTTTAAATGTCCTAGTCTTTAGTGTCTGGCTCCCAAAAGGGGAAAGAGAAACAAGGGTGGAAATGGATACCAGCTCTTTAAATCCCCTGAAGTCACTTCAGTTGGGAGTGGGGAGGAGCTTGAAACAATTAAGGGAGGTAAGGCAACAATGGCCACCTTCCTCTTATCTGTACCTCTGTAACCAGAAGTAGCAATTTGTGATAAAAGCATTGATAACCAGTATTGGAGGGCAGGGTTCTTTTGGCTTACCCTGGCTCCCGTAAGCTGTGTGTAAGCTGCTCCAGGAAGATGTGCATAGTGGCCTGCCCTGGGACTGGGGCTGGCGGCTAGCAGCTGCTACTCTATGAAGACCTGAAATTGAAATTAACCCCAATTTACAGACCAGGCCTTCCTTCGGAAGTTGCAAGCGTTTAATAGACCAGAGTTCCAAAATAGTTCTATTAGATAGGCCAGTGCAATTGCTGTGTAGGTGGTTAAGATTCCTTGTGCTTCCTACTCCATCTTTCCAGAATCCCCTGAACCTCCCTCTTTCATTCCAACTTGTCACTCCTATCGTGGCTTTACTCATTTCTTACCCAGTTTTAAGCTCACAGGTCAGCCTGTTGAAAACGATGCGCTGGCTTGCTGTTTGCTTTGAGCCTCTTTGACCTGTCCTTTCTTCTTGTCAATGACCAAATCTGAATAACCCTCACCGCTCTGTATTAGTTTGTGTTAACAAACTTTCCAACATTACTGGGGAGTCATAAAACTGGGTTAACAAGGTTCACTACAAATTCAAGCTACTATCTGAAGCTGGGTTCTTACTGCTGCTCTGCACGGCTTCTATTCATATCTACTCTGCACCACACACCATTCCTTTCCTCTTCAAGCCCACAAGGCTGCCTGTAAAATTATGCTTCCATTTTGTGCTTTAAATTCTGTAACAAAACAATTTCTCCCAAATCAGCTTTTCCGTTGTCATCCCTAACATAAACATACCAAAAAAAAAAAAAAAAAAAATCAAAGCATGGGCTTTGGAATCAAGGAAGGTCTGAGTCTGGATCCTGACATCACCACTTAATGACTATGAGATTTGGGGAATTAACCCCTCTAGGCCTATTTTTCTCTTCACCTTTTCTCCCTAATTATGGAGGGTTGTCACCAAGGACAATTACATAAAGTACATCAAGTTCCAAGGACAGGTAGTGGCACTTGTGTGATGCACATACCTTGTCCTTCTACAGCTGGTTCCCTAGATCTGGACATCAAATCCTACACATACAATTTTTGTATTCTTTTTTTTTTTAACATACTCTGTGTAGTATGAGAAACAAACTGTTGAATCAAATAGCATCCCAAAATTCTATTGAGAACCCATGCTTTAGCAACCTTTGGCTTTAAAAATATAGCCAATTCAGCTTATTTTTTGCTATTTGGTTTTTAATGAGAGCCTTGTTCAAACAAGAAGCTAGATGCTAATTAGATTTTCTTCTTAGAAACTCTACTTTGTTATAGCCACTTAATTGTTAAATGTGAGACATAACTGAAAAGTAAAAACCACTCCCAGACCCAGTTTAACAAGACCTCAATTCCTAAATAGCTGACATTTTGATATTTAGATCCAGCTGCATAAGACTAGTCCAGTTAGTCTTCGAAGGTCATTCTGCTCCTAGGTATTATTAGAACCTATAATTTGTGTTAGCTCTTAAAAACACAAAACCATCTCAAGCAATTAACTATTTTGGTTTAATTTATCATGTTTCATAGAAGCTGAAAACACATACTTCTCCTTTATATGAATAACCAAAAGACCTATAAATTACAATATGCAGAATGCTATATAAAAGAATTTTAATGAAATTGGATCTTTTTCATCACGGGGCGACTGCTGTAGTTTCCTCTGACTTGTACAGCATCGGCCTGAATGCATATTCTTCTTTATGATGGTCTAAATTTAGGTTAAGTACAAATCACAGCAAAAATTAAAGTTTTTACCTTTAATGAAATGACCTTGGAAATAACGTACATTTCCATGACACCAATACTACAGTTTTTCGGAGTCACAGTAAGATACACAGAATTACATCCGTAATTAATATGAATGCCAATATTTCAAGCAGTAATTTCTGTTACATGGCAAACAAAATCAAGAAAGCAACCATCAAACAAAAGAGACCCATAGCTTCAGACAAGGCAAATCCCAGGATAGCATATGAGAACAGCTGCTGCTTCAGCGAAGGGTTTCTAAAAGAGACACAACACATAATTGTTACTTTGAAATATTATTTGAATTCCAGTATGTTTGGTAAATGCTAAAGAATCATATCATTAGTGTGGGATCTTTGTAAACTGGGTAAGTCCTGGAAAAGTATTAGCCCAGCTCTCTTTTATTTCTGCCTTTGATATTCCTTTCTCCTCAATCCTAATCATATGGGGAAAAGGTGGGAAGCAAATTTTGTGTCAGTATAACTGGTTAGTCTTCATCCATTTTAAGGGGTTCAGAAACAGTTGCTATCCCTGTGAAAGTATATTCTGTACCTCTTAAGATATAACAGTTTAGAAATAAGGTCTTAAATAAAATGGAAGTTGATACTTTTAAGGACTGCGTTAACTGTATTCCCAATATAGTGTCACAATCAAGAGTACAGACTCTGAAGTCAGAATTAAAATTTATTTTCTGACACTGACTAGCTACTTGGGCAATCAGGTAATTTCTGCATTGCTCATCTTTCACAGGTCAACTGGAGTATATCTCCAAGGGATGTTGTGAGAGTTAAGTGGGATCATGCATGCAAAGCCCTCAAAATACAAGAGCAAGACAGAGATGGCACTTCATACAAAGTAGCTATTATTATTTGACTAGTTTTCCAAGTTTCCAACTATGTCAAGCATGCTCTTTTAAAGTAGCTTATTTGGTGATAGAAATTACCTGGCATAACCAATGATAAGGCTGCCAAAGACTGTTCCAATACCAGCACCAGAACCGGCCACTCCCACTGTTGCAGCACCTGCACCAATAAATTTGGCAGCAGTATCGATATCTCTGCTGACTACACTGGTCTGAAACTCCCTTTGGATTAGGTGGGACACACCATTCCGGGACCCATTAAATACCGTAGAGCCCTAGAGAAAAGAAAATAAAGGCAAAGGTCAGACCAGTAACCACAATTAGCTATGTTAATTACTATCCTGTCAAATAGTTGCTACTCTTCTATTTTGTAACTGAGTTTGAATAGGAGGTGGTGTGACACAATGGAAAAATCAAGAATTTAGGATAATTCCAAAGTTGTAGAATAGGGATAACAATATCTATACTGTATAAAGCTGTTGCAAATTAAGAGACAGCATATTTGAATATGCTTTTTAGTAGGGCAGGCTTTTCAATTAACTGTAGCAAGTGTCATCTTAAATATAGGGGACTTAAAACCACACATTTAGATATACATACTGACTACATTTCTTGCATAACTCAGCTAGATAAGTTTTGGATACACAAGTTTCTTTCATTGGCTTATCCTCTGCACTATATTTTGATAAAAGGGTGGGAAAAGACTGCTCTCAAACCATTCACAAATGAGGTTTTTCCTCCCTTTTGATTAAAAGCATAGAATTTACTTGGTGGGGTTACATAATTTCTATTACTGCTGCTATTACCTCTCCAGTCCTAGTCTCTGGTCGAGATAACACTGATGCAGAAATTGGTCTGTATGCAACTCTGGATCCAGCTCGGATCTGTGAATGAAAAATATAATCCAAATATTAAGAGTAGGTAAGACTTCAATGACCCTTCTTGTACCACGAGTTCTAAAAAAGCATGCAGCAAAAATGAATCAGAAAGGTTATGACTTTACTGTATTGTCTGGTATCTTGCAGTGTGATTATTTTCAGTCCCTGAAGGTATTTTAATAGTTTTAAAGTTGCTAATTAAAGTGTGGTACATAATCTATTGGTAGTAATCTGAATAAAACAAGAACAATTGGTTAAAAGAGCATTTTTTAAAATTTCAATTGCTGTTAGTGCCACAATTCAGACCAGAGAAGCAGCAATAAACATGCCACATTCTTCAGTAAATTTAAGTGCACCAACAAGTATATCAGTGTTGCTATAAAAGCTTGTCATTTAAAATAGCCCATCAGTTAATAGGAGACCCACAACTTCCAAGATATTCCTCTATGTCCGTTAATTATAAAATAAAAAAGCAGTTTAAGCAATTCTGTACCAGTGTACGAATAACCGGGGAAATAATCTGACCATAAGGAACATATTGCAGTCCGGCGTCTCTGCCCTTGAGTGTCCACTAAACTAAGGTCACAGAAAATCCCTTCGGAACCAAGACCTGATTCTCTAAGACAAACCCCCCACACTTCACCTAAAGCCTCCAAAATGGTTATGGAAATGACAGCCAGGGGCAGGAAGAAAGACTTTCGACTCCTCCACCACCTTCCTCCGCCCACACAGGGTGAGGCAAAGTCCCTCCTTCTGCAGCAGCGAGTTTGACCTACAGATAGGCAACGGAGAACGCTAATGCGGTCAAGTAGGCCTCGGGGGCACCCTGCATCCCTAACAGCACCCCAACCTTCGCGCCGACCCTAACCCCACAGTCACCGAGGCGGTGGGGGGAGGGGGCTGCTCCGGCGCTAGCGGCAAGGAGGGTTTGACCTACAGCGAGTGAAGCCTGACAACTAGGCCGCGGCTGCTTCCCACCGCCCGAGTGGTGGGGAGGAGCCAAGTAAGGTGCCCCAGCATCAGAAGGAAAGGAAGGAGAGGGCAGAGAGGGTAAGAGGTGAGGGGGGAGCTGTCCCCAGAGCTTGATGTGCCGTGCCCCATTCAACAACGTGGACGCTCCAGGCCAAGGGGTCGGCCCTTCGCGTCCCGGAGCTGGGCTACGCACCAGAGCGGGGGTGCAGGCGAGCTTGGCGCAGGCGAACATCTTACAGTCTTCTGGGCGGCGCGGCTGGAGGACCTGGGTGGACGGCGACGTGGGCTCCTCTCCTGCTTCCCCTCTGCGGAAGTAAAGGGGCTTAAGGTCAAGTGCCCTCCAGGGCCTGCCCTTCCCACCCACGTCCCGCGGGCTCCCTGGCATGCCATCGGCCCGGGCCCTCGCCCAGCAAGGCGCCAGGAGAATGAATGGGTCCTGGCCGGACGCTGCTCCGTTCCGGCCAGGCCCGGCTCTCGCGCCCGCCGCTTACCTTCCCGGGAGGCGGCGGCGGCGGCTCCGGCGGCAGAGGTCGAAGGAGTGGCGCTCGGCGCGCAGGCGCGGTCCGGCTCTTAACCGCGCCGCGGCACCCGGATGGAGAAGGCGGGGAAAAGGGGCCGTAGGGAAGCCGCTCAAGGTCACTTTGTAACAACTTTATTGGCAACTGGTTGGGAAGGACAAAGACACTTGCGTACGGGTGGGCTGGCGGGCAGGGGCTGGTAGAGGAGAAACAGAAAGAAGAAATGGACAACTGGCCCTGGCTGAGAGAATTGAACAGGTTGTTTCCCTTTTGATCTGAGCCTGCCGGAGGATCAATTGACACCCTGTGAGGTTTGGCCTTTTAATCAGTTGTTACTTCTTTTATAGGAGAGGCTCTCTTCCCGGTCAGTCTCCTCTTTTGTGAAACCGGACTGTGTGCGTGCGTGGGGAAGGAGATCAGTCACTCCTTGGCCGACGAAATTAGGTCCCAGCAAAGCACATTTGTTTAAAGGAATCTGGAAAAGTATTCCAGAAGTATGGCTAATCGTTTGGGCGACAGAAGACCTGACTTAGAAATACTGGGACAAAGGAATGGACACATGAATAGATCAAAAAGTTTTGTGACTGAGTACAAAGGTGCCTTTTAGTAAAGTGAGGAAGGTCAGTTTTTCTCCCAGCTCTATGTTTGGAAAAATTAAGGGATGTAATGGATTTTATGGGACTAAGGAAAGTATGAGTATTTTCAAAACCCACCCAACTTTAACACTTGTCTTTGGTAATTTGGACACATCTTCTTTGATGAATACAGACGTGTCTTAGAAAAAAAAGTGACTCTTACTGAACTTCTGGTAGATCTAAAGTTCTGTAAGTTTTACTTAGTAGTTCTAACAAATGACTACTGGAAGTGATGCAAGTCAACATAAAAGATTAAACATCTAGTAGTATGACCAGTCGATGACCAGTCGAAGGCGAGTATGACCACTCTGCCTAGAGATTTGGCATGGGACATTAGCACGGAAGTTCAGTATCATCTAGCAGCAACCCTGGAGAGAAGCTCTCAGAAGTAAAACCTGAAGAATGAATAAGAATGTATCGCTGATCCAACTTCAAATACAAATGGTTCAAAATCACATGAAAGCTAATCATTTTAGGCTCAATCTTTAGCCATAAAATAGAGAGAATTCATGTAAATTCACACGTGCAGTTCAAAGATTGTTCATTTACTCTCTAAGTATTTAGCTCTTACCTGAAGTATGTAGTGTCCTGTGATGTCTAACATAGAATAAACAATGCTATGTGTTCATCAGAGTTTGCCAGAGAACCAGAACCAGTAGGAGATTAATTAATTAATTATTGATTTATCTATTTATTTACTAGGAAGAATTAGCACATGTGATTAGCTATGTGAGCTAATTAGGAAGAATTAGCACATGTGATTATGGAAGCTGAGAAGTCCCATGATCTGCTGTCTCCAAGCTGGAGACCCAGGAAAGCCAGTGGTATAATTCAGTTAGAATCTGAAGGCCTGAGAACCAGCGAGGCTAATAGAGTAATTCCCAGTCCGAGTGCCAGAACTGAGATAAGATGTCCCAGCTCAATAGTGAGATGGGGGAAAAGGGGACAAATTCTTCCTTCCTCTGCCTTTTGTTCTATTCAGACCCTCAGTGGCTCAGATGATGCCCGCCCACATTGGGGAGGACATTCTACTTTACCAAGTCCACTGATTCAAATGCTAATCTCATCCAGAAACATCTTCACAGATACTCAGATAATATTTAATCTAAGCACCTCCATGGCCAGTCAGGTTGACTCAGAATTAACCATCACATATCCTATACTTCAATAATAGATCCTCTTGGGGAGAAACTATCCTAAATGGATTTATGTGCAGAGACGGTTTAAGGGAAGTTCTTATCTCTTCAGCCATAAATCAGTAGCAGTAACTGCTTAGGAGGAGGAGGAGGCAGGAGAGAAGCCAGGGTCCCTAAGACGACCACTTCCAGGGTGCATTTGGGCTAGGTGCCTATGGTAGGGGGAGATGCAATCTAAGTCCAGGCTCTGTCAATGTCAATAAGCAGGTGAGCTGGCCTAGAAGAGGAGACAATAGGTCCTTGGTGTGTTCTACCAGAGTTTTAAGTATTTATGAAGAATATTAGGTGTTCAAAGAACAGGTGTGCTACCTGTGAGAATGGTGTGTGTGTGTGTGTGTGTGTGTAACAGAGAGAAGCGGATCTTGAGTGACATCAGCCATGTTGATAGGGGATAAATACTTACACTGCGGAAGTTTGATGGAAAATGGCACCTTTTGAGAGGAGTAAAGCAAGACTACAAAGATGCACAGGGGACTTCTTTTAGAGTATTCAATTCTCTGTATTTTTCTTAAATCGTGGAAGTAATCATCTTAAGTTATGACATCATAGTTTGGCAGTATCTGGTAAGCCTGAGTATGATGGCATGGGGACAAAAGGAATGGAGCAATAAAGAGAAGCACGGAAAAGCCTTCCCAAATACAAGTGCGGCAGTCCTTCCTATCCTGCATGGCCCTTTGCAGTGTGACTTTGCCACACATCAAGCAATGGTGTCTGTGTCCCTTCTCCTTAAATCTGGGCTAATCTTTTTTTCTTTAAGTTCATTTATTTATTTTGAGAGAGAAAAGAGAGTGAGCATGCACAAGCAGAGAAGGACAGAGAGGGAGGGAGAGAGAATCCCAAGTGGGCTCCACACTTAGTGAGAGCCTGACACGGGGCTCAGTCTTACTACTGTGAGATCATGACCTGAGCTGAGATCAAGAGTCAGATGCTTAAACGAGTGAGCCACCCAGGCGCCCAAATCTGGACTAATCCTATGACTTGTTTTGACCCAAAGAATGCATTGGAAGTGACACTGTGTGAATTTTGGACTAGGTCTCATAACTTTCATTCTCTCCTTGGAAGCCAGCCATCACATCAAGAAACATGGGTTATGGTGCTGATGGATAAGAAACCTTTTGAACAGGGGGGGAAAAAAGCCTCATAACAGAGAACTGAGGTGCCCCGGACACGTGGCTGAGGCCATGTTGGCTTCTCCATCTTTTATCAAGCTTTCCCAGCCAACACCACAAGGAACGGAAATGAGCCTTGCCTAAATTGCTAATCTACAGAATCAAAAGCCATGGAAAGGTTATTGTTTGAAGCTACTAAAAGTTAGGGTAGTTTATTACACAGTCATAGGTAATTGAAACAGAAGATAATGTCCCCTTTGTGATCCATGTGGAGGAGGCAGCATCCTTTTTTTTTTTTTTTTTTTTTTAGTAATCTCTATGCCCAACATGGGGCTCACCTCCACGACCTCAAGATCAAAAGCTGCATGTTCCACCAACTGAGCCAGCCAGGCATCCCTTTAAAAATTTCTAAAAGTTGTTTTTAAGTAATTAGGAGGCAGCAGCACCTTAATGTGGACAATTTCAGTTCAGAATCCCAGGCATAACTCAGAGTAAACCAGATAGAATCACATGTCTTAGTCACTGACTCCCCTCTCCTTGAAATTCTGGGGTGGAATGGTGTTGTTGTTATTAAAATTATTGCGGGGGAGGGAGGGGCGCCTGGGTGGCTCAGTCGGTTAAGTCTCTAACTCTTGATTTCCACTCAGGTCGTGATCTTGCAGTTTGTGAGTTTGAGCTCCACATTGGGCTCTGCGCTGACAGAGTGGGGATTGCTTGGGAGTTTTTTTCTCTCTCTCTCCCTTTCTCTCTCTCTCTCTCTTTCAGCTCCTCCCCTGCTGGTGCTCTCTCGCACTTTTTTTTCCAAAAAAAAAAAAACAAACCTATCGTAAGGTAGTTCTAACCTAGACAGATGGAAAGATGTTTAAGTTACCTGCTTTTGAAAGTTTTCCGTTTAATAGCCTGTAAGGTTTTCACCAGCCTTCTCACATTAGTGTGATTTTAAAATATACATATTATTTCAGGAAGTGAAAATCAGAAATGTGAGTTAAAAATATTCTGGGCTTCATTATAAAACTATTTTGCTTTTCTTATTAAAATTTTTGTTTCCTATCATTGATTTTGATAACAAAAAAATTATTCTTAATTTGTTATCACTTTATCTTTTTTAAAGGAAAACAAACCTCCAAACCTGTGCTAATTCTGTAGGATTATTCAGTCAAGGTGAGCTCCCAATAAATACTGTGTCATCTCTTTGAACATAATGAGTATACAGGAAAATGTAAGAGTTTTCATTATAATTGCACTGTATGAAAATTTAAACTAAGGTATATAAAAAATTGGAGAAAAACACAAATTAGTAAATGTTTTAGGACTAAGTTGTGTGGTGTGTGGTGTGTGATAAGGGAAATCGCTTAAGAAAAAAGACTGGGCTGTTTAGAAAGTGCCTCACTGAGCGGTGCCTGGGTGGTTTAGTCGGCTAAGCATCCAACTTGGGCTCAGGTCATGACCTTATGGTTTGTGGGTTCAAGTCCCAGGTTGAGCTCTGTGCTGACAGCCCAGAGCCTGGAGCCTGCTTCAGATTCTGGGTCTCCCTCTCTCTCTGCCCTTCCCCTGCTTATGGTCTGTCTTTCTCTCTCAAAAATAAGTAAACATTAAAAAAGGTTTTTTTGGTTGTTGTTTTTTTTCTTAATTTTTTAATGTTTTATTTATTTCTAGGAGAGAGAGAGAGAGACAGCGTGAGCAGGGGAGGGTCAGAGAGAGAGGGAGTCACAGACTGAAATAGATGGATAAGAACATAGCTCCTTGATCACCTTGCTTCATTCTATTCCTCCAATGTGCCAACCATATTCCATCTCACATAGCTGCACGTCTGTTCCTTTAGCATGGGCCATTGTTCCCCTGGATATTCACTTGGTTTACAACTCCGTTTTGTTCAAGTCTTTGGTCAAGTCTTCTCTTAAGAGAGGCCTTCCTGGATCCCTTACATATCTTAATATTTCTTCATTACACTTACTGCCACCTCCCATTATTTGTCTGGCTCTTGCATTAGACTGTAGGTCCATGGTGGCAGAGACTTTGTTTTACCCGTTGCTGTATCCACAGAGTCTAGAACATGCTTGACCCACTAATAGGCACTCAATAAGTTTTTGAGCCATGAGGTTGGAGAAGGAAGGGAGAGACTGTTAACTTTTTCTTTTCATCACTGTATTACTTGATAGGTTACCATGAGCATGAATGACTTTTTTTTATAGTTTTTTTGAAGGTCTAATTGACCTTATTTTTTTAAATTTATTTTTATTTTTTTAAATAGTTTATTGTCAGGTTGGTTTCCATATAACACCCAGTGCTCATCCCCACAAGTGCCCTCCTCCATGCCCATCACCCCTCTTTTCCTACCCCCCATACCCATCAATTGTTTATTTTTGAGAGAGAGAAAGCACAAGCAGGGTAGGGGCAGAGAGAGGGTGACAGAGTATCTGAAGTGGGCTCTGTGCTGACAGTGAGCCCAATGTGGAGCTTGAACTCATGAACCACAAGATCATGACCTGAGCCAAAGTCAGACACTGAACTGACTGAGCTACCCAAGTGTCCCATGAGTGTGAATTACTTTAATGTTTTAAAAACCAGGATGCAATCATTGACAAAATTTATTACATTATCCCCTCTGTGGTACTTGCATTAATTAAACCAAAAGGAAGCATTGTTATGTTTTAAAGGATTTTATTTTTAAGTAATCTCAACGCCCAACATGGGACTCGAGCTTATAACTGCGAGGTCAAGAGTCACTTGCTCTACTAACCCAGCCAGCCAGGGGTCCCAGGGAAGCATTATTCAATGTTGAATTTCGGTTCTTGGTGTTGGGCTTGGATGTAGCCTTACACAATGTTTTTTAAATTATACTTGAACTTTAATCTATCTGTGGTAGTTTATCTCTGCTTGAAAGCACAATGTGTGTGTGCATGTATGTGTGTGTATGTGTGTGTTTGTGTATGTATGTGTACCTTATCTATATCTTGGCTGAAGTTTCTTGTATGTGATTGCAAGGCATCAAATTGAAAATAGCAATTTTAGCTATTTTTAAAAGACAGCTAGATGTCCTACTCTTTCTCAAGAAGTTAAATCCATTTATATTCTATGGACCCCGATGTTCAGTATAGGGTTAAGAGATAAGAAGTTTCACAACACTAGTACAAGTTGCTTATCGAACTTCCCTGCTATTCTAGCCCTAGTGAGGCCTTTAAGGGTGATACTCCTAGTCCTATAGCCATGTGATGTAGACAGAATCTTATGTCAATTTTGGGAATTAAAGGGATTCTATATGTTACCGGTGCATCATGCTAAGTAATGCTTTATATTTAAAGTATATTTATACTTTGTATAAAAGTATTTCTACTTTTGGATTTTCATGTATCTGTGAAGGCTGGTGAGACCCATTTCAGAGTTCTGTGCTCCAAAACAGAAACATAATTAATTTGTGTTGTTTTAAGCCATTCTGTCTGTGGTAGTTTGTTACAGCAGCCACAGGAAGCCTAAAGTACTCAAGCTCTTGTCTGATTCCAGGCACAGGTTATCAATCTGAAGAGACAAATCGAAGATGGGATGGGGACCTGATTTTGGAATGCAGGCAGCTGAGCTGCCAGGCATTGTACGGGATAGGTCATTCATTATGGATCTTAGTTTAGTACAAGGCCAGGGAGATGAGCAGTAGGGGTGCGCTCTGACAAATAATGGCATCATCCCCAAGAGCACAGTTGGTATTCTAGCTGGCTGGCTAGGTCATGGGACCAGGCCCATCCTGGGTACCCAAAATTTGCAAGGACGGGAAAAGGGCCAGGTACCCACAAAACTGGGCAGAAGTATGTCAGAAAGGAAGACTGATATCTCTAGGCAGGCAGATTTAGGAAGCTGATATATAATGTTGCTGAAATACTGTTAAGCAAAAAGCGACCAAGCACGTTCAGAACCACTCTGGCTTCTAGAAGAAAAGCTAGGAATATCATTCTAGGTTGGCCTTCAAATTGCTCTTGGGATACAAACCCTGTAGGAAGAGAGCAGCTAGAAGAGAGTCATCGGTGACAGGGTACTGGGTGGAAAGGGAACAGAGTGAGGGCCAGGACATGTGAGGCAGTGTCAACCCAATGATAAGTCAGTCATTGATAGGTTACTTACTAGAGGGTAAAAATCATAGGCTTCCATAGTCACACTTCTTGACTATCCAGGGGTCTTGTCCAGGGCCTTACTGGGCAGCAAGTCTCCATGTATACCTTTCTTTTCTTCCCCCACTGAAACCACCTATTTAGGGCAATGTCTTACTAGTATGAGGGTACTCTTAGTCTGCTTGTCTTCATCTCTTCTCCTTCAGATTTATGTGTCATTTATTCAACAAGCATTTTATTCATTTATTATATACAATTGTGAGACTGCTTCCCAAAGATATTTCTTTGGTAAAAACGAAAATAAAATACATACTGGAGCGCCTGGGTGGCTCAGTCAGTGAAGCAACTGACTTTGGCTCAGGTCGTGATCTCATGGTTTGTGAGTTTGAGCCCCAGGTCAGGCTCTGTGCTGACTACTCAGAACTTGGAGCCTACTTCAGATTCTGTGTCTCCCTCTCTCTCTCTGTCCCTCTCCCACTCATGCTCTGTCTCTCTCTCTCTCAAAAATAAATAAACATTAAAAATATTTTAAATAATATACATACTAACTAATGTAAAATTAAACTGTGTGTGTGTGTGTTTCCCCTTGCGAGTCTGCTATTAAAACCCTCTGGTCTGGCCAAATTAGTCTACTTGCCATTGTTCAAAAAACCAAGGCAGTAAAAACCTCTTTGTACCTTTGGCTGCTTTGTTCTGGCAAAGTTTACTGAGACCTCTCAAATACAGCTGAGGCTTAAAAATGGAATAAATTAGGGTGGGAGATTGGGGCATAGGTGGGAGGTTAAGAATTAGGACTGCGTCTTCTTAACTGTCTCTATTTGCTATAGCCGCTGGTAGATTATCTGGACAAACAGCATTACCCTTGAGATCTACTAATTCCTTGCCACGCTACAGTTCTCCTGCCTCAGAGTTTTTATTTAATTTGGACCCCTGCCTTGCCAGAGTATCCACCCTTGGCCTACTGGTCCCATGCTTCAACATCCAATCAACTTTCTCTTAAGGACAAATAGGAAAAATACCCCCACTAGAACTACCTTTTAACAATTATGTAAGTAATATATGAATACAGGCTTATAAAAAACCTAAACAATATAACATTATGTACGGCTAAACCTGTAGCTCTTGTATATCTTCCTCCCCAGATTGTTTTCCTTTTCAGAAGTAATCACCATTAACAGTACAGCGTAGGGGTGCCCGGCTAGCTTAGTTGGTAGAGCATGCAATTCTTGATCTCTGGGTTGTGGGTTTGAATCCCATGTTGGGCATGGGGCCTATTTAAAGAATAGTATAGTGTATATCTTGCTGGATCTTTCACTATGTTTTTATATGGAAGTGTACGAATATAGTTGAAAATTTTCTTAAATAAAAACTTGTGTCTTCTTTTTTAACAAATAGTTTTGGGAAAATTAGATAACTACATGCAAAATAGTTGGACACTTACATTGTACCGTATACAGAAATGAAATCGAGATGGACTAAAGACCCAAATATAAGATCTAAAACTATAAAGCTCTCAGGAGAAAAAGTAGGGGAAAATCTTTATGACACTGGATTTGGCAATGATTTCTTGGCTTTGACAGCAAAAGTACAGGCAACAAAAGGAAAAATGGATAAATTGGGCTTCATCGAAATTAAAAATTTTGTGCATCAAAGGACATTATCAAGAGAGTGAAAAGATACCCCACAGGATGGGAGAAAATGAAAAATTCCAAACAACCAAATTAAAAAATGGACAAAGAAATTGACATTTCCCCAGACAAGTTATAGAAATAGTCAATAAGCACACGATAATGTGCACCCCATCACCAGTCATGAGGGAAATGCAAATCAAATGAGATTCTACTTCACAACGACTAGAATGGCTGTTATTTTAAAAAAGGAAAGTAACAACTGTAGGTGAAGATGTTGGAAAACTGGACTTCTTGTGCATTGCTGGTAGGAATGGGAAATGGTGCAGCTGCTGTTGAAAACAGTGTGATGGTTCCTCAAAAAGTTAAACGTAGAATCACCATACGATCAGCAGTTCCACATCTAGGTACATGCTTAAAAGAATTGAAAGCAGGTACTCCAGCGGATACTTGTACACACACTAGTGTTCACAGCAGCTTTATTCACAATAGTCAAAAGGAGGAAACAATACAAACGTCCACCAACAAATGAATGGAGAAACAGAATGTGGTATAAGACACAATGGAGTATTATTCAGCCATAAGGCAAAATGAAATTCTGATACATGCTGTAGCATTGGCTGAATCTTGAAAATGTTATGTTAAGTGAAATAATGAAAAAAGGATAAATATTGTATGACTTTATGTATATAACATATTTAGAATAGGCAAATTTATAGAGACAGAAAGTAAAATAGAAACTACCAGGACCTGAAGAGCAGGGAGATGGGGAATTGTTGTTTAATGGAGATAGAATTTCTGTTTGGGATGCTGAAAAAGTTCTGGACGTGGATAGTGATGATGGCTGCACAACATGTGAATGTAGTTACCGCTACTGACCTGTACACTTAAAAATGATTAAAGTGGTAAGTTATATATATTTCCCATAATGAAAAACAAACAAGTTTTACTTTGATTTTTCAATAAATGTACAATGTTAGTAGTGTTTCAATTTCAGTAAACACATAGCTACTTCAATCTTTTCAAAATAATGTTTAACATTTTATAATGGAAATTTCAAACATATTCAAAACTAAGGAGAATCGTATATTAATTCCCACCCGTCACCCAGCTTTAACAGTTATCAGCACATGGTCAATCTCATTTCTTCTCTTCTCCTTCTCATCCACCTCTTCCCCATCTACCCCATGTCATTTTGAAACAAATTTCAGAAGTCATAACATTTAAATTATGAATGTGTAAGTATGAATTCCTATAAGGACTCTCTCCTGAAAAGCAAAAGTACAATACCATTATCATACCTAAAGTGTCTAACAATAATTTCTTAACATCACCAAATATGCAGCCAGTGTTTAGATATCCCTGATAGTCTAATAATATTAACAGCTCCTTGGTTGAAATTAAGAATCTGTACAAGCTCTTTGCATTGTAATTAGTTATATCATGTCTTTTAAGTCTGTTTTAGCCTGTAGATTCTCCCTCACTCTTTTTTCAAATTTATTAGTTCAAGAGACTTGGTTGTTTGTCAAGTAGAGTTTTCTGCATTCTGGATTTTGCTAGTTTTATTCCCATTCTGGATTTTTGCTAGTCATTTGACATGTTTATCTGAACCCTATATTTCCTATAAATTGGATCTAGAGGCTTTTCTTCTTAAAATATCCTTTACAGGTGATATTGTATATTTCTTAATTGCACCACTTAGGCAGCATAAAATGTCAGGTTGTCTTTTTTTCTGATATTAAAATTGATCAGTGAGGTCAGCATGACTTATCTATGATAAACCTTTTTGCTTAATGATTTTAACAGTCACTGATGATTATTTCTGAGAATTGAAATATGGCGATAGTCTTTTTCTATAATTTCTTTTTCTTTTCTTAGCTGGAATTAGTCTACAAAGAAGAATTTTCCCATATCAACTATTTTTGTTACCTTATGTTACAGCTAAGCCAGAAAAGACAGAATAAATAGTTGATTCTTTCTTTTTGTTTACGATTTTCAGAATGATGAGTTATATATAATTTAAACCATCAGGATAGGAGTACAGAGTGATTTATCCTGTAGATTAAGAGTGGGCAATGTATCTTTAAGGAAATCTGAATGATTTTCTGTCTTTGAAGGAAGATTGGACCAGGTGATTTCTAAGGTTCCTTTGAACTCTTACAGCTCATAATTTTTCTTCCTCATGAAAAACATTTATGCCTTACTTCTCAATTTCAAAAAGAAATTAGTTAATATATTCTAGTGGTCTTCAGAGATTAGATGTTCCTTTAACAGATAGCATAATTCGCAATAATTTTTTGGGTTTGTCTCAAAGTACTAGATAGTTATCAGATATTTTTTGAGGCAACTACTTTGCTATCTTTTCAAATTTTTCATATAAAAATTTTTAAACCTAGATTTTTAAGCTTTAAGTATTAACAAAGAAAAGTTTCAAAAAGTACAGAGAAGTACTGTTTACTCCTTGTCCTGATTCACTGATTTTTACCACTTTCTATACGTTTTCATATTCTTTTTCTTATGCTGTCTGTAGATATGCGTGCACACACACACACACACGCACACACACACAGAGCGTATGCATAGAGTTGTCCATATTTATAGACATCTATCATCTATACACACACGCACATATTACACAATTTTTCCTAAACCATTTGAGAATAGGTTGCACACATCATGCCCCTTAATATTTCTGTGTATATTTCTTAAGAACAAGAGGATTCTCTATCCTAATATTGAATTATTTTTATACTCCTGAACTGCATATAATGTTTATATGTCAATTACACAATCATAAATATAGATTCTCTTAACATAATCACAGTTTACTTATCAAATTCAGGAAATTTAACACTATTAAGATATTTTTATTCAATTTACAGTCCACATTCCAGTTTCATCAGCTGTCCCAATAAGGTCCTTTATAGAATTTTCTCCCTCTAATATAGGATCCAGTCCAAAATTACATATTGCATTTAGTTATTATGTCTCATAGTCTGCTATAATTTAGAACATTTCTTAACCTTTCTTTGTCATGACATTGAGAGTTTTGAGGAATACAGGTAAACCTCACTTTTTCACTGCCATAATTACACACATTGCTTAGTTCTCAGTCCTAAGTCATAAATTACCTATTTGAGCAAGAGATGGATTTAATCAAAAAGGCATTGAGGAATTCCTAGAATTTCAAATAATCTCAATAAAAATATTTTACTTTGCATATATCTATCAAACAATATTGTTTACAGAAAAAAAGATAAATGATACTTTACTGAGCAATTATAATATAATGGACACTGTCTTTATTACATTACATGTAACATAATCTATCTAAAACACAGCTCTATTAGTCAAGTACTCTTTCAAATACTCCTAATTCCCACTTTAACAATGAGACAATTGTGGATTATGAAGGTTAAGTGGATTACCCAAGGATATACAATTCATTAGGGACTAAGAGTTCAAAGTGAAGTTTTGTCTGACACTAAAGTCCATCCTTTTTCTATTCCACATTTTTATTTTCAAATTTAAAAAAATTTTTAGGGGTGCCTGGATGGCCCAGTCAGTTAAAGCTCTGACCTCAGTTTAGGTCATAATCTATCTCATGGTTTGTGAGTTCAATCCCCATGTCAGGCTTTGTGCTGACAGCCCAGAGCCTGCAGCCTGCTTCGGATTCTGTATTTCCCTCTCTTTCTGCCCCTCTCATGTGCGTGCTCTCTCTCAAAAATAAATAACAGTAAAATTTTTTTTTTCATTTTATTTATTTTAGAGAGAGAGGGTAAGGGAGGGGAGCAGAAGGGGGGAAGGGAAAGAGAGAGAGAGAGAATGAGAGAGAGAGAGAATCTTAAGCAGACTACACACTCAGCATAGAGCTCAACGCTGGGCTCGGTCCCAGGACCCTGAGATGATAACCTGAGCTGAAATCAAGAGTCAGATGCTCAACTTTCTGAGCCACCCAGGTACCTCTATCCCACACTTTTACATGGCAGCACAACTTGAAAACTTTCCTGTAAGATATTTGCTCAAAAGTAAGTAATCTGTGATGATCCGAAACATTAAGTATTGCTTCTGTTGATAGTATATAATAAAAGATGTATGCTGAAAAACATACACATTTTAATTGTTTTTTCATCTTTAAAAGTACTCTGAAGACATAACCTAATGCGAAAGGAGCTGGCCAGAAAATCCTCAGCGTGCACATCAAAATGTACCCACTTGGGGGCACCCACAATGCAGCTTTTCTGCCTGTTTTTCTGCCCAGAAGCTTCGAGCCCTGAAGAGCTGGAGTTGAGCCAGCAGATGAATTTAGTCTGCTCTCCAAAACGCAGCCAGCCAGATCTGATGTCTCAAGGAATAGCCTTCTATATCTCCAAGTGTGGGGAATATCTTATTTAGCCTTTGGCCCACACAATAAGCTATTATGTGCTCTTTAAAACATTAATAATCAGTGTCCTTGTTGTAGGCCAAATGTGCTAGATCTATAATGTTCATAAGATTCAATAACCAAGAGCTAAAAATAATTTGTTCCTTAAACATTATATATTTGTCCAAAGAAGGTTTTAGATTATTGCTATGCCAAAATTAGGAACATCATAACTAACTAGCAGGGATAAAATGCACCATAAAATAAAGCCAAACATTTTGCACTGATCTTGTGTGTATTCTCACCCAAGGCATGCTCTCTGATGTGGGTATGGTTGGTGGTCCATAGAGCAAGGGAGGTTTCTGTAGATGTGGCTGCTGGTGTCAGCTCTAGGTCAGTCATGTGGTCTTTAGCTGCATCTGATAGTAGAGATGCCCCCTGAAATATACTGATGCCAGAGATGTCATTGACCCAGACGCAGTTGCTCTGACTCTGCCTGGAAAGGGGTTATTATTCTAGAGTGTAAGGAAAGAAGGTATAGAAAATGAGATTGTACTGGACATGGCTACCACAGTGTCTTTTATACCTTCCACCTCTGCCGAAGAGGCAGATGAAGGTGGCTGTGTTTTGTACCATATAAGTCTGTTTTTCATATGGCTGATTGTACTACAGAGAGCCACAGTATAGACTGGGAACAGCTTATGGGGTTGCCTGGCTCAAAAAGCTCTATTTCTTGAGACACAACCATTCCAATCACAGGCTTATAAATGGGAACCTGATTTAGGAAACAAAATATGAGGTGGGTAACAGGAGGAACTGATAAGAAAGAATGTGTAGAGGAGATATAATGTAGAATAGAGAATAGAATCAAATCTGGGTTATAAGGAAGCTACACAGTGAAGATAGTGAGACATACTTAAGCACAAGCTGGGAGAGAGAAAAGACAGAGAAGAGGGATCCACTCCGTTAGTGGAAGGCGTAGAAAGACATGTGAGGAGAAGCAGGGTTGGGGGAGGCTGAGGCATGTTTGTAATGGAGCACTTGAGAGAAGAATCATAGATCTTGCCTCTGAGGGTCCTTGGGTTTCTGTTCTAGTCAGGTCCCTGTTCATCCTGGTCCCATCCTGACTCTTGAAATAAATGGCCATTACTTGTGGAAACTTGAGTGAATATTTGTTCTCCTGTAACTAAGGTAGATAACTAAAATAGGAGTGATATGAAAGAATAATGTTGCTGCTTTGGTCTTAACAAATCAAGCTATAATATACCTAACATTTACCACTTTAACCATTTTTAGTAGGGTACAAGGGCATTAAGACCATATGCATTTTTATACAACTATCACCACTATTCATCTCCAGAACTTTATCATCTTCCCAAATTCTATACCCCTTTTTAAATTATTTATTTATTTAGAAAAAATTTTTAGTATTTATTTATTTTGAGAGAGAGATAAGGCACAAGCAAGGGAGGGACAGAAAGAGAGGGAGACACAGAATCTGAAGCAGGCTCCAGGCTCTGAGCTGTCAGCACAGAGCCAACATGAGGCTCAGACCCACAAACCATGAGATCATGACCTGAGCTGAAGTTAGATGCTTAACCAACTGAGCCACCTGGGTGCCCCTATTTAGAATTTTTTTTAATGTTTATTTATTTTGAGAGAGAGAGAGAGAGAGACAAGGCACAAGCAGGGGAAGGGCAGAGAGAGGGAGACACAGAAGTTGAAACAGGCTCCAGGCTCTGACCCATTAGTACAGAGCCTGATGTGGGGGTTGAACGCATGAACCATGAGATCATGACCTGAACCAAAGTTGGATGCTCAACCAACTGAGCCACCCAGGTACTCCTGTTCCCCCTTTTTAAAATGTAAGCTCAATGGCTAACATGGGGCTTGAACTCATGACCCCAAGATCAAGAGTCACATGCTCTACTGCGTGGGCCAGCCAGGAGCCCCAATATCCATTAAAAAATAACTCCCCACAATCCCTTCTCTGCAGTCCTTGGCAACCACTATTCTACTTTCTGTCTCTATGAATATGTGTGGAGTCTTTTTTGAATGAAAATATTAGTACTAAATGGTTAGGATATTATTTATACAGCAAACCTGTAAGTGGCAAAACCATTGCCCAGAGTTTTGGGAGAGATGTAGTTACTTTACTCCAAATAGCCTAGAAAGTATTAACTACTTATTGGGTGTGGTCAATCAACTGCAGAAAGAACACAAACCAGACAGGAAACCAAACTTGAGTGGGAGGCCCCCAAGGGAGGCTGAGATGTTGAGCTATGTCTTTTGTCATGTTCTAGCAAAGGGGTTGCTATGTTTGGAGGAGCACTTCCTTGATGTATGAAGTAAAATGACCCTATCTGTGGGGGGAAAGACTAAGATCTGGAAAGAAAAGAAGCCAAGGTAATTGTGGGCTAAGTCTGTCATCTGTATGTGGTTAAAATAGAATTATTGTAGCAATATGACTCCTGAAACTTATACTTTGGAAGCATCCTTCTAAGAGGCTTCAAAGTATAATAGGATATATAACTTGCCAGTGGTCATCTTGGACCCTTAACAGTGGGTCTATAAGGAGATGAAAGTAAGCTTAAGTTTTACAGGGCAAGCGGTTGGGGGACTGACCTGACCAGTTTCCAAGGGAGCTGGACCAGAAGTCTAAATCACAAAACCCGAATTAAGGTATTAGATAAGATGAGCTGGGATCCTGTAGCAAGAGTCTCTGAGCAGTAACTATGCTGGTGAAACTATGGGGGATATCATTTTGGTTCAGATGAATACAGGATCCCAGAGAGCATGTGGGGATCAGGGACATGGGCCAGACCCTGCAAAAAATAGATTGACCAAGACTGGGTGGACTGAGAGTCCCAGCCAAACCAAAAACATCCAAGGCAGATCTGGATCACTGAGTAAATCAGAACTGGCGTCAAGAGCCCATTTCTACCAACTGAATTTCTATGACAGAGATTTATGTAGAGGCTGCTGTTTGTCCCTGTTAGGCAAGACTGATGAGAGGAGAGAGAGGCAACACCGAAACACAGCTATGTTTGGTTCTCTTAGGACACCAATGGGGTGGGACCGAGCTGGAAGGTTAAACATATTAATTGCCTAACTTGAGCTTGAGCATGCAAGAACAGAGAATGTGACAACAGGGTCTTGCTGCAGAGTCTGGAAAAGTTTCATGGCTTTATTGATCAATCCCCTCTTTCAGACCATTCCAAGTAAGGCTAAGTGGGCATTGTCCTGAGAAAACACGACTTCCCTACTTCAAAGACCATCAACCAAACTCTGAACACAGGACTAATATGTTTGGTCAGGGAACTCATGCCAAAAGCTGACCTGGAAGAGAGTGTTGTGGCACTTATCACTAGGATTCCATGTTATTCTACATACTTTGTCTATCCTTGTTATATGCCATTCAGATCCTCTTTCAGTGGAACTTACCCAGCTCTGAGGAGAGTTGTCAGCAGATGGCCTTCTGGTGTCAGCCCTTTCAGCAATTACCTAACCAAGGAGAATGGCCTTGCCCAAGGTTATTCCGTTTCCAGGGCAGCCCATATGCAGTGATTGATCAATGGGGAGTATAAAGACACTGATATCTCAGCTCAACTTGAGACAACTTTGAAGAACCATTCTAGCTCCAGCACTTTCCATAGTCATTGGAGGCAGCTTGATTTCTGCTCTGTTTCGCTTCTGTCTCTTGTATAGTTGGAATGTTTGTGTCTCCCTCAAATTCATATGTTGAAATCCTAACCCCCGTGATAGTATTGGTAGGGGGAACTAGGGACGTGACTAGGTGTTGTGGGTAAAGCCATCATGAATGAAAATAGTGATCTTCTAAAAAAGATCCCATGGAGCTCCCTCACCCCTTCCACCAGGTGAGGATACAGCAACAAGATGCCAGCTATGAATGAGTAAGAGGGTCCTTGCCAGAAATTATGACCATGCTGGTGTCTTGATCTTGGACTTCCAGACTCCAGAACTGTGAGAAATAAATTTCCTTAGTTTATAAGGCACTTGGTTGGTGGTGTTTTGTTACGACTGCCCACATAGACTAAGATAGACCCCTTCCCTCCACAGATGTTCATCTCAAGGGTATTCCTTTATAAACAGCCATGCCATGGACCTCAGTTATACTTTGGTGCTCATTCTTAGTTTTTGTTTTTATGTCTCTTTTCTGGTGACCTGCCTTATGCCCCAGGTAGGGGCCTACCTTGTCCTGTTCTGACTTTGTTCTCAACGTGGGTGCTACTGCCATTTTGGTTTCCATTCATTTGAGGAAATCTAGCAACACTGGCTAAACGCCAGTGGCATTCTTTTTTTTTTTTTTTAAATGCTTATTTATTTTGAGAGAGAGAATCCCAAGCAGGCTCTGCACTGTCAGTGAATAGCCCAATATGGGGCTCTGTCCCACAAACTGTAAGGTCATGTCCTGAGTCGAAACCAAGAGTCAGACACTTAAGCGACTGAGCCATGTAGGCTCCCCAATGCTAGTGGCATTTTTGAGCTGTGTACAGCCAGAAATGTTTCCAAACATTTCCAAATACCTCCTAGCTTGTTGAGACACCTGAACTGAAAACCGCCAGGTCAGAATACCACCCTGGGGCCCAGGGACTTTGTGCTGAACCCAGCCTGTTTTTTTCCAGTGCTAAGTTGGACCTCAGCAAAATCAATAGTAGTATCACGGGCCATCAGCCTCATCTTTCAATAGATTAGTTGCTGAAAAATCGAAGGGAAACCAAATATTTGTTTCATTTTTCATAAATCATACAAAAATTTCATCCAGGACCGAATTTAGAGCTTCCCAATAGTGAATATGGTGTGTGTGGGATCCTAATCTCATGTCCTCAGAGTGTCTAGGAGGTCAGTAGTTTCTCCTATTTACTTGCAGGGATATGTAAATATAATTATGGCTTCTTAGTCAAATATAATATTACAAATATGTTGGTAAGTTTAAAGCTTAAAGGCTTTTTGTTTTGTTTTGCTTTTAATTATTTCAAGTTAGACTGAAGCTTAAATTTTTGGATATCAGATCTCATCCTGGCTGGGAAGAAGGCGAAGTTTCAGTATCTGAAAGACACAGAGGTGTGAGGTACCAGTAGAAGAGCTTTTGGGGATACTACATGAAAAGATGTCGCGTTCATTGAGATTGAAAGAGTACATTGAAATCTGAAATCCGGAGCAAACTTAATATGGCGACGTGAGGGAGGGTCATCTTGAAAGTGACTCACAGAGCATACAGGGCTTTGCCTAAAACCACAGATTACATAACCTTCATCTTATCTAAGGGCTTAAAATGAAGTGATGGACCAATCAAAGAATTATTTCACTGAAGATCTATACAAGTGTTCTTTCAATAAAGAGTTATCTCCATTTTGAAGGATCTGAAGTAATACTCCTCAAAGCTTGTGTGAGGTATTCTGAGCAGTTAGAACAGTGCTTCTCAAACTTTGCTGCACATTAGAATCACCTGGGGAGATTTCAAAACTCTTGAGGCCCAGGCTGCACCCTATCCCAATGAAATCAGAATCTCTAAGCCTAAGAAATAGGCACCAGTGTTTGAAAAAATTTCTCAAGTAATTCAAACATCTGAGAAGGTGATTTAGAGCCACGGTTCTCAGACTTGAGCTGCACATTAGAATCGCCTGGAGGGCTTGTTAAATCCCAGATCGCCAGGCCCCACCCGCCAGAGTTTCTGATTCAACAGGTCTGGGGGAGGACCTGAGAATTTGAATTTCCAGCAGTCTGCCAAATGGTGCCAATGATGCTGGTCCGGGGGACCACACTTTGAGAACTACTAATCTGGAAAATTAATTTACGTATTCATTAATGCCATTTGAAGGCATGTAAGCCATAAATTTTTTGCTGGGCAGCTTAAGTAGATGCAACACCCTTGGAAAGGAATCTAACCACAGTTGCGAGCTCCCTGCACACACTGGTTCTTTGGCAGGGTTGTATTTGTGCCCATCTGTTGGGCTGGCAGCATGCCCACGAGGGATGTGCTGTGCCAATTTCAGCAGGGCATAGGTGCTAACCAGACACGGCTGTAGACGGGTGGCTTTCATCACACAGCGAGTGATGTTCCTTGGGCCAGGCAATCCTGCTGTTTGCAAACAGCTCCAGTCTGAGGCCACATGCTTCCTTACATCTGTAGATGCTTGAGGACATGATTAAAAAATAAATAATCAACAAATGGTTGATTATATTTCTCCCTCAATCTGCCTTACCGCTGTAATTTGGCATGTAGAGAAGCACTCTCTCTTCGGTGAGCTGGAAGCCATTCCTAAGGACTTTACATATGTGATCTTTAGAAGATGTAAGATTTGCATCAGCTGTAGTTATTTGTTTACTGATCTTTTTTTGCTTTATTGTATTTACTTATATTTTTCTTTATCTTAATTTGTAAATTTATTTCTTTTTCTTTTTTCTTTTTTTTCCTTAGTTTTCTTTAGGTTTTCACTCTGTTTCTGAGCTTGTTTTTCCCTCTGTTATTTTATCTTTAAAATCTAGAAAAGTCCTATTATAAAGTTAGACTGGGAGTGGGGAAGTTTCTGTAGCAGAATTCCAATTACATTATAAATCAGTTTCATTGATTATAAATCTAAGTGTACATATGGTTTAATTTATCCCATCATCAAACCTGGGCTATCAGATCTTTGAACACTTTTAGATTAAAACACTGTTTTTTTAGGTTAAAAATTCTTAGAGCTTTTTCAAACAAATAAATAAAAAGTAAAACAATAAGAAATCCATTGACTCATGAGAAAGAAATTCATTGATTTATAAGATGTGCAAAAATATTATTTCCTTTTAAGAAAGTATACTGGTTATGCTGGGATTGAACATGGGAGCCTGGGGTTGGGAGAATGAATGAGCAAAAAAAATTTAAAAAATGAGAAGAGATAGCCCTCTCTCTTCACTATGGTTGGATTTTATATTGGGTTATGTGGGCTTGAAAGGGGGGTCAGGGGTCTGAAGCATTACATAGCCCAAATTCCAGGGAAAAGAACCTCTGTCTGTACAAATGAAAGCAAAGCTGAATAATGAATTGTGACTATGGAAAACCATATTCATCAGTTCTCCCCACTTGGTTGAATGAGGAAAATCATAGGTAAAAATGAATTCAGAAATGAGACTCAGCTAACATTCCTTATTAGCCCCCAAAGCCCTTGAAAGTGTCTAGAAGTCTCCTTCACAATTTCCACAGAAATTCCACATTGACCATATCTTCAGCTTCTTTAAAAAAATTTTTTTAGTTTATTTTTGAGAGAGTACGGACAGGGGAGGGGCAGAGAGAGAGAGGGAGACACAGAATCCAAAGCAGGCTCCAGACTCCAGGCTCTGAGCTGTCAGCACAGAGCATGACACAGGGCTCAAACTCACTCACTGGGAGATCATGACCTGAGCTGAAGCTGGGCACTTAACTGACTGAGCCACCCAGGTGTCCCTTTTCAGCTTTTATATACAGGTACTTTCTCTTGAGAGCAAGTTTTGAAGTTAAAGAAAAGAAAAACTTTTTATAATTAGATGTTATTTACTTGATTATAATTGTTTTTCAAGACGTTTTTTATTCCTTTTTTTTTTCAAGGTGGGATTTGTGGCCATATTCAAACAGGATTTGGAGAATGAGCCTGTGGACTCACCTAGAATGTACAATGTCTTTCCTTTGAGAAAATATGGCCAAGAGTAGAGCGCACAGCTCAGAAATGGACAAAGGGCTTGAGAAGACAACCTATTCAAAACCACTGAATCATCTGCACATGAGTTTTATGAGTGGGAAATCAGCGCACGAAGTGTACTTTTCATACACTTCGCAGTTAGGGTGGTAAGCAGTTCATAGACCAAATTACCCTGCCATTGCAACCTTAAAGAAACATTCCCTTGGAATAATCTCTAATTATCTGAATCAATCCACCTTGTATACAGAGAGGAAGAAATGGAAAAAGCCAACTCTATCAAATATCCAAAACATCAATTAAAACATTTTATGTAGCAATCAAGTAAAAAAAGTTTCAAAAGGTGGAAATTATTTTACAATAAAGCTGCAAAGTCTAAAGGCCAATGTGTAGATTTAAAAAAATCTTCATTAAGGTATAATTGACACATATGAACTGCGTATATGTAAAGTATGTAATCTAATAGATTTTGACATATGTACACCCCTGAATTCATCGCCACAATCAAGGTAGTGAATATATCCAGGGTGCCTGGCTGGCTCAGTCTGTAGAACATACAACTCTTGAGTTCAGGGGCATGAGTTCAAGCCTCACATTAGGTGTGGAGCCTACTTAGAAAAAATTGTAAAAAAAAAAATGAAAGGAAAAGAAAAGAAAAGAAAAAAGAAAAAAGAAAGATGGTGAACACATCCAATATCCCCCTAGGTTTTCTTGTTGCCTTTTGCAGTCCTTCCTTGTCCCTGACATCCCATCTCCAGTCCAAGCAATCACTGATCTGCTTTCTGTCATTGCTGATTAGTTTGGAGTTTTATGCAGATGAAATCACGCAGTCAGTACTCATTTTTGGCTGCGTTTTTTTCACTCAGTGTAATTATTTTGAGATTCTTTCCCTATTTTTTTTTTTTTTAAATCTCTGGTTTCAAATAGTCCTCACATAAGATGAGTTTTAAGTTTGCATTAAGATGACATAGGATCTCTCCAGGTAGAAGGCTGATCAATTAGAATTTGTAAGTTGGAATCCATGGTAAACCAAGGAATTACTAGGCAGTTACCTTTACTTGTAATGTTTAGACTCTGTCTCAGTTGGATTTGGGGTGTAAGCTGAGGAAACCTTTGCTGTTAACTTATGAAAAGATAAGGACTGGCTTATAGATGAAAAATGGGAACAACCAAGCCATTTCAAGCCATATTGAAGCCTGAGGCAAAAGGAGAAATCAGTAGCACTGACATTTTGTTCATCATTGATTTCTGCATTAATTTTGTTTTTTAAAAATATTATATTAAAATATTATCTTAAAAAAATTTTTTTTAATGTTTTATTTCTTTCTGAGAGAGAGACACACACACAGCGTGAGCAGGGGAGGGTCAGAGAGAGAGGGAGACACAGAATCCAAAGCAGGCTCCAGGCTCTGAGCTGGCAGTCAGCACAAAGCCCGATGCGGGACTCGAACCCACGAACCTTGAGATCATGACCTGAGCCGAGGTCAGATGCTTAACCGACTGAGCCACCCAGGCGCCCCTAAAATATTATCTTGATCATGAAGTTTTTTATTTTTATTTTTTAAAGTTTAATTTTGAGAGAGAGAGAATGAAAGAGAGAATGAGTGAGTGAAGGAGGGACAGAGAGGAGGCAGAGAATCCCACGCAGGCTCTGCACTGTCAGTGAAGACCTTGACATGGGGCTCAGTCCCACAAATTGTGAGATCATGACCTGAGCCGAAATCAAGAGTTGAACACTTAACTGATTGAGCCACCTAGATGCCCCAAGATTTTTTACTTTTAAAAGATTAAGTTTTTTTTCATTTTAAAAGAGTTTTTATTTAAATTCCAGTTAACGTATATGTTATATTGATTTGAGGTGTACCATATAGTGATTCAACACTTTCATACAGCACCTGGTGCTCATCACAACAAGTGTGCTCCTTAATCCCCATTATCTATTTAATGCTTACCCTCCACCCACCTCCCCTCTGGTAACCATCAGTTTTGTTTTCTATATTAAGGGTCTGTTTCTTAGTTTGCCTTTCTCTTTCTTATTTTCCCCTTTGCTTGTTTGTTTTGTTAAATTCCACATGAGTGAAATCATATGGCATTTGTCTTTTTCTAACTGACTTATTTCACTTAGCATAATACTCTCTAGCTCCATGTCATTGCAAATGGTAAGAATTCATTCTTTTTTATGGGTGAGTACTATTTCATCATATATATATACCACATCTTCTTTATCCATTCATTACTTGATGGGCTATTTCCATGATTTTGCTTCTATAGGTAGTACTGTTAATAAACATTGAGGTGCATGTATCCTTTTGAATTAGCACTTTTGTATTCTTTGGGCAAATACCTAGTAGTGCAATTGCTGGATTGTAGGGTAGTTTTTCCTCTATGGTCAGGAACAAAACAGGGATGTCCACTCTCACCTTATTATTTAACATAGTACTGGAAGTCCTAGTCACAGCAATCAGACAACAAAAAGAAATAAAAGGCATCCAAGTCAGCAAGGAGGAAGTTAAACTTGCACTATTTGCAGGTGACATGATACTCTATAAAGAAAACCCAAAAGACTCCACCAAAAAACTGCTAGAATAAACGAATTCAGTGAAGTCACAAGATACAAAATGAATGTACAGAAATCTGTTGGATTTCTATACACTAATAACGAAGCAGAAAAAAG